GACCGAGATCTGGAACAAAAGAACAGGAATATCGGCTGTGATTTGAGCAATGCAAAATGCAGCCGGGTGGAAGTATGCGAAGCCTTTGTGCTTCACCAAAACAGGGCGACCGTTGAAGGAGTCGGTGACTTCTGCCATGGCAAGCAGACTGTTGTAGAGGAGCGAGAAGAATAGGGCACCTGACTTGACGAAGAGACCACCAGAGTTGTTAGGGGCATTATAGAATAGTGATCCAGCAACAAGGGCTTGAATCAAGGTAGAGACCTGTTTGATGATAAAGGTGGCCTTATCACCCCACAGAATCTGATACTGCCGCGCGATACAAGTCTTGACTTGAGTAACAAAATCAACTGTCAAAGGGCTAGACTTGGGTAGCTTCTTGCTCTTCTCCTGGGCGACGGAGATCTTGAAGTCCTCGGTACGCTCGCGAGCGATATCAGTGTCGGGGTAATTGTACTCAGTATTCATCTGAGCATAGATTGGCGACTTCTCGTACTCGGCAAGAACCATCTCGGCATTGCGAGGGAAGCGGTTTTCATAGCCGGGTCGGATCTTACGTTCGGTAGGAACGGTGATACCAGTCAAGTAATCAGCCACGTTCGAACCTTCGCGACAAACGAAGCCAAGATCCTCCATGAATGGGCGCGCTTGTTCCATAGGACCGTAGTAAATTTCTTTACCCTCGTCAAGAACAAGTACTTTGTCGAAAAGGTCATAGATACCATTTCCAGCCTGGTAGAGAGTGACGATGGTAGAGAGACCAAGCACGTCTGTCATAGCGCGAATGGCCTTGGTCCACTCGAGGGCGGTACTGGCGTCCAGACCACGGGTGCTGTTATCCCAGCAAAACACCGAACCGCGGGTAGCAAGACATTCGATGATGGAAACACGCTTGCGTTCACCACCGGAAACACCTCGAACGTATTCGTTGCCAACCTTAGTGTCGTTTGTATGGGTTATGCCCATGGATTTCAGCAGGAATTCCTTGGCCTCTTGACGATAGGCCTCTGCCGACTCAACTCCATTCGGCAAGGTAAAGGGCACCTTGAGACGGGTCGCAAAGTCCATCGTTTGGCCAACCGTCAGGGTCGGGAAGAAGACTTCTTCCTCAGTGTTGATGACGATTTGACCACGGTAATTTCCAGCCTCCTTGGCAGTCAGTGAGCCGTATCGGACTTCACCCTCTATCGAGTTGTAACCGAGGCGGCGATTGGCGAGCATCTTGAGAAGGGTGGTGCAGCCGGAACCAGGGCGGCCCAGAACCAGAAGCATCTCACCGGGCTTGACGCACCCATGACTCTTTTGGAGAATCTGGCGGAGAGGCGGCTTGTTGCGAGACTCCTTGATATGTTGGGGAATGTTGAACTGCGATAGGAAATTCTCGTTAACGGCGGCTTCGGCACTGACGACTTCGACGGTCAAGTCCTTCCAAGTGACACCGAGTTGACGAGGCTTGAGCCCGGATTGCATATCACGTTCGTGCTGTTGCTTGACTTGGGGCATCAAGGACCAGTTATCGGCGCGGCTAATGTTGGGGTCGCGAGTAGGCATGGTGGGGTCATCGTTCAGGACGGTAGCTGTACTATCAGTGTCGTCCCTACTCTCAAGCATCCCACGGGATGCGGTGTAGGTTTCCTTTTCCTCCATGGTGAGAAGGGCGAGACAGCAATGATGGAAGTCTCGTTGTCACCCGATGGAAAGGGTCTGAAGAAGGACGATCTAGGCGCCATGAGGGGCGAAGAGCTCCTATATACTCGGTAAGTATCAACAGACTGAGAGAGGCGGCAGTGGGTCGGGGGGGGTCCTTTGAGCCTTGAGTCTGATACTGGGCCGGTGGATATCGGGGCCTGGGCGAGCTTCCGAAGGAAGATTTTGGGGTCCACCCGGCTATTCTGCCTCGCTGCGAATATCCGCTTAGTCAGAGGGGCCCCCACCCATTGCCAATCGCCAACGGCTCAGTGAATTCATGGCTTAGGTAGCTGTCAATATTGGAAGCTTGGGAGGCTCGAAACAAGGATGCACGGAGGTCCGAGTCTCCGTGGATGTTGACACATGTTTCAGTATTGATCGCTAAGCATCGGAAAAGGTGAGCAAAGAACAACCAGCCCGACCGAAGCCAAGACGGTCGAGATGGCGCTGCGTGTGTAATTCGTACTGTATCTACTGTGTAGGAGAGAAGTGGAGTTCCGTGGATGATGAAGATGGAAATTCGAGCCACGTGAAAATTTCTGACACGTTAACCCGGATGCCTGTTTCGGGCAATCTCCGCTGACAGAGCGGATAAGCTGCATGATCCCCGTCCGAGCTGGGAGAACGTAGCCGCCTGACTCAGCGGATATTTGCTCTGCAGCCTCCGAACCAGCTGGAAACAATCATCCGCCCCAGGGACCAACAAAAGTTTGCGCTGCGCAAGCCCTCCCAGAAGAAATTTAATGTTAATACCGTATCCTCCATTCACGGATTAGCCAATCAAATCCATATTCTTCCGCGTGTTTCAACATCTCGTCACCACGGGATCATCGATCTAGCCTTCGAATCTAGAGGCTGAACGGCCCGGCGATAGAGCAAGAGCTCAGTGCTCTGGTGGCTTCGACACATTCCACTTGACATATTCTGGAGGGCGGTGATGTGCGTCATGGTAATGTGACGATCTACCAGATCTACAATCACAATACAAAGTCGCAAGAGATGGCCATGCATTGTTGGGCTCCGATGCAGCCTTCGTCCTACACCGACAAGCATGGCCTCTTTCTACACTGGAAAAGTGCCCATCCATCTAACAAGTCATTTTTGATCTCTCGATCGCTTGCAACCCCATCTCCCCGTGCCAATCACTCTTGGAAAAACACATCAGATCAGACTGCAGAATGCACGGAGTTAACCATTTCTGACTCACAACACCGTCGGATTTATCATCTTCTCGTACTCGGAGGCCCGTAAAAGCCGATGCCGACCCAGCTCTCCACTTTCGGTCTGGCACCACTCAGGCACCAGCGGGCTTAGAGTTCTAGCGAGTTCTAGCCTTCTCACTTCCACTCACGGCCCTGTCTCACTACGCTTGGCCACTTGTGGGAGCTCTTGCGACTCCACTTTGGGGCTCTTTTCCCCTCCACTGCAGCTCTCTCAGGGTCGAGGTATCGATAAACCCACGGCAATCCGTAAGCAGCTGAGCGACGCCGGCAATGGATCACTGATCGACTCTTCGAATGGCTTGCGGGCCGGAAGGAGGTTACTGGGCGGTTCTTATCAGATAAGAAAGGACTCTGAAAGTTCCTGAGGGCACAATCTGTCGCAATTTGTGGACCCTGTTGCGATGATGCAGGCCGGTGCTACCCTCAGTCAGATGGACTCGTCTGATGGGTTGAGGTGTCAGATCGAATACGCCGGCGATCATGTTATGCTAGGTTTGAACGTGGGACAGTGCTATCATCCTTGTGATCAACCGACATCTCTTTTATTGATGAGCTAATGAGTCCACAACTAAGTTACCGTCTTACATGTGCGTCTAGCACGTATACAGATCCCGAGTAGTTGAGGAACCCGCTACGTGAGCACCTTGCGGAGATATCGCTGGAAGGCTCGGACGTTCTGCGCTCTATTACATGACCTCGTGTCGCCAACAGCCCTTGAAAATTCGATGGACAAATCAAACAAGTCACGAAAAGCAACGCATTCAAGATCTTGTCTTAGCTTTACTTTCCGACATACTCCCCATTCTCGATTTCGTGCCCGCATTCAAACCGGATGAAGAACAACAATGCAACTAGGAACCAAACCCGCGCTTTCAGTCTTACATCAAACTTTTCCGTCCGCCCTCCTCCTGTTTAAACTCTTGGCTGAGGGGGGTCATTAGCACGGCCGGTCAGTTCCAGGCCTGGTCCGCACCTGTCCAGGGAACTTACAGCTGCCTCTCGAGGCGGTCGAGTTGTTGCCGATTTTGCTGTATTTGATCTTGCAGCTGGGATTTCGTCGCTGTATCGTGTGACGGCATTCCCACATCTGCCCGCTCTGGGTCACGGCGAGCAGGATCCCGGCTAAGTGGTCGGGGGTGCAGCGGTTAGCTTTGCCCGAACACATGAATTGGAGAGTCACTTGGAATGACGTCATCCGAAGCACTCCAGTCCCCTTCCCTCCTTCCGCAACGAGGGTGCATCTGGGGGCGCGGAGAGAAATCTCGGGTACTGAACGTACTCGGCCAAGAACCCACGAGGCTTTGTGGTTTGCATCTGGCCTTCCTTGCGGGCGGGGACTGCGATGGAGAATGTCCGTACCAGAGACGATGGTCCGCGTGTGGTACGAAGCAGGCGACGCGATGTGTCGACGAATTGTCTTGACATTTGAATACCGGTACAATTTTCGAGAAACCTCGGGTGTTGAACTGCTCTATTCGTTATAAGCATAGATCGATTGTTATGTGATAGCACTCTACCCCTCGAGACACGCTGGATTATATACTACAACCCTCGAATGCCCGTGCGGTCATGTGACCGTCTCCCCGGGCCAAATGCGGCCAGAGTGGAGACCCCGGTGCCCCAGCAGCGAATCTGGGGATTTCTACACCGCGAATGAGACTTCTCCGTGTTTATCGCCACCACCATTTATCGCCCTGATCGTCTGCCTCCCAATATCTGGTCTTGTGGCACATCCGCATTAAGGGAAGACGACCACGGACCTTGCACCTCGCCCAATGCTCAGGTATGGCGAACGACGCTGAGAGATACGCTGGATCGGTGGGTTGGCCACGTAAATGAGGTCATCACATGGGGGCGATGGATTTGTTTTTGTGGTCAAGACGGTTCTGTGGTTGGGTTGTGTTCGAGATGCATCGAACTACCGGTAATGCTAGATGTTGGGCGCCGCAGATGCGAACTATTCTACGGGCAGGTCAACGTCACTCCCGGTCGCCTTTCTGAGAACCATGAGCCCAACGAAGATCAAAAGAAAAGGGCTTAGATTGCAAACGCAGAATAAAATTGGGCGAAGCGCAATCCACTACTCTATCATATCACATAACGGAAGCCCTTCTGCAGCCTCCTGGCCGCCGCAACGTCGATCCCCTCCACCTCGGCCGTCCGCTGCAACCGGTCCAGATCCTGGTCCGTCAACACCGCATCCTCATCCTCCAGCCGCGCCAGCCGCTTATTCAAGAACCGCAGATGGAAGTACATGAATACCGCCATAATCCCGCCCAGCGCCTGCATCCCCACGCACACCCCCATCGCCAGCCGGTAATACGGCGCGTCTTGCTGGCGATACGTGAAGGCCGTCCAGATGCTGGCGGAGTTGCCAATCGAGTTGATGAACGCGTACGCGGCGGCGCGCTTGGCCGGCGGGCGGGGGATGGCGTTCGCGATCCACGAGTACAGGGTGCCGTTCTGCGCGAAGACAAAGTTCATCAAGAACATGGAGAAGTAGCGGGGGCCGAAGCTCTCGGTCGTCATGAAGATGATGAACCCGACCATGGTGACGGGGATCGGGTACATGAAGAACCAGAAGCGGCTGCCGAAGCGGTCGGACAGGTAGGAGTGGAAGAGACTGTAGAAGACCATGAAGATGTAAGGGGGCGCGACCAGCAGCAGCGAGATGATCTTGTTGTACCCCAGGGTCTCGGCCAGGGTGGGGAAGTAGTACTGGAACCCGGCGCCGGCCGTGATGCACATGTAGGCGACGGCGAGGACGTAGGTCTTGATGTCGGTGAAGGCGAGCTTGAGGCCCTTCAGTTGCGACGTGCCGCCGCCTTCGTCGATGTCGGCCTCGGCGGCTTCTATGGCCAGCCGGCGGTTGGCGACGTGTTTCATCTCGGGGGAGAGCAGCTTCCATGTCTCAGGAAAGTCCGGCAGGACGAGGCAGATGGCGAGGCCGATGGCGACGGTGATGCTGCCTTCGATGATGTAGAGCCATTGCCAGGCGGCCAGGCCGCGATGGCCCTCAAGGCCCTCGAGGATGCCCGCGGCGATGAGGTTGCCGAAGGCGCCACTGACCAGCGAGCCTGAGTAGAAGATGCTCATCCGGAATGCCAGTTCGTTCTTTGTGTACCATTTGGACAGGTAGAACAAAATCCCCGCGAAGAAGGGGGCCTCGACCAGCCCCAGGATAAAGCGGCAGGCGACGATCCCGCCGTAACTTGTCACTTGGCTGGTCAAGGCGGAAACAAGCCCCCACGCCGTGGTGAAGAAGCCCAGATAGATCGATGGGCGGCCCATATAGTTGAGGAGCAGGTTGGAAGGGACCTGCATGAGGATGTATGCCACAAAGAGGATCGACAGGCCGACCTGGTACTGGGAGTCATTGAGGGAGAGGTCTTGCTCGAGGCCTTGGAGCTTGGCTGCGGCGTAGTTGTTGCTGCGGCTGTTAGCTTGGTCTCGTACAATGAAAACTGCAATTGACATACCGATCGATGTAGTTCATGAGATAGACGAGGATAACCAGGGGCATAATCAGGCTGTCAATTCGTCGTCGGAGCTTTTTCTCTAAGACCTTCTCCTCCTCTGTCAACTGGGCCATCTGGACGACCTCCTCGTGGGAGACGTCAATCTTTTCGCCCATGGCTTCATGGTCGGTCATGTATTTTTCGGCCATGATTGAGGGAAACGATGGCCCCTGTACGATGAACAAGGGGGAATGGGTTGAGAGAAAGTGTGTCAGATGCTCGAATTGAAACCGGATTCCAGCCAGCTATATATTGCTCTCATGAAGAGGCAAGCAGCATGATCACAGCGTAGAAAGTGTGTGGGGGAGAAAGGAGTGGGGGTTGGTGTGTTTGAGTTTAAAGCCCGCCTAGTCCAAGTAGAGGCGGGGAAGCTTTCATTCCTCATTGCGGGGGATTGTCTGGGGTAACGGGGTTTGCCCCCCCCCCCCCCACTCGGTACTTGCTGTCGGAGACTGTCCGACAGCGTCCTCCCTATTCTGCTCATCCCCATTTGTTGGCTCTGCTTGGCACACGGAATAACCTGTCTTTTCATCATGCGTGATGATGGTGAAACTTGGGAAGCCACCATTTAGCTAAAATCGCCTCGTCCACTGAGAGCAGGCTGCACACGCTAAGGTGACTCTGGATCGTCGCATCCTGCCTACGTCAGGCGATCATGCAACCCTGTTGAGGCCTCGGCTCGCATCATCTCCGACCTTGCTTTGCAGAAGATGCTCCGATGTTTGACCGATGGTAGCTGCGGCAGATGCAGCAGAAGTGAGCCATCTCACTTGCTTGGCGGCCCTCATTGTGTAGATGACAACCACCTTTGCAACCGTACCACCATACTACTGCGAGACCCCTGAGCATACCACGCTGGCGTTCTTTCTGTGAGTCCTATTTAGGCCAGCAACCCATGCGCTCGGAGGATTTATTGATGTGCGGGTAGTATTGTTGCAGGACATGGTAGGCACTGGTGGTCCCATGCATGCGAAGGACCTGCTTTGGAGTGATCGGCGCAGAGATAACAAATCAGCCATGTGGCTGGACCCGTAGTGGCCGTCTAGTTGAAGTCGAAAGCGAAGACCCACGCCTGTTGGTCGAATCTCGTCAGTTTCTGTGCAGATATGGTCGGGGAATGCGGCGGTCAAACTGAACTTATTACTAGCATGCACCAATCCCGGTAGAGAGACTTATCACGGTTGTTCATGCACCACTTACGGCAATCATTCCCCGACTTTGTGGTCAGGTAGGAGCTCGACAGAGGAGAAGGCTGCTAATCGTAGTTATCAACACTGGTTCGGTGGGAGATTAGCAACTCTTTGGCTGAAGTAGATACAGCAAGTTTGTTAAAATATGAGAAGGATGAACCGTAGTTGTTGAGCTGAATTATGCATTCTAGGTGGGTGTAACAAGCTCATAAGTCATGGCATGGTTCAGAGTTATGCACGAACTCGAGGCGGGCAGAGATATATTTATATCCCAGGTCTTGCGGTTGATGGATAAAGGGTGTTCTTGAGGTACGCGACCAAATTAGATCATTATGCAGATACTTATGATGTGGAAAGCGCGGCCAAGGCTCATGAACTTGGACTGTCACGGTGTCAGTGTCACTCAGAAGTCAACAGTTGGACTGTCCCAAACCATCTGGTTGATGTTGATGTGCCGAGGGGACAGAAACTTAGTTCCTGAGGCACCCAATCTGGTGCCTGGTTTGTCACGCTAGCCTTTTCAAGCCAACCCACCAAGAAATCGATTCATTCAGTCTCAGCGGCAAGCGACAACAAGAACACCACACTCACTGCATCCACCTAATCTCTCTTGTCTCTTGCAATCTCCCTGCGCTAATCGTGTTTCTGGAATGCAGATTAGTCTCAAGCTAACACCATGGTTCCTCGAATTGCTACGAGATAACCTTTCCGCCATCCACGCAGTCTCGAAACCTACCAAACCACGGATCCAGAGTGGCAAAACACGCTACCGACCGTGAGCCCACCCGAAACCAAGCCGGTCCAAGCCCACTTTGCCAGCCCGCCATCGCCTCAGGCCCGGCTTGCTATTGGTCTCGAGGAGCCACGGGGCGCGCTGGTGCCGATGTAAGCGAAAGGGAAAGAGAGGGGACAAATCTCGGACATGTTCGTCCAGATCTTGTTGGTGTCAAGCGTGCCGTACCGTTCGTTGGCTCTCTGCCCCCGAAAGCTCGACCTTTGCCCTCACCCGAGCAGTAGAGTCATTACTCCAATAGGTGCTAGACCGCGATGGTCAACCACGACTCGCAGGCTGTTCTGGTCCCCAGCCAGTACCGTCCCAAGCCTGTCATCACCTCAAATCAGCTTGCGCGTCAATTGCGGTCCTGTAAGGTCTGCCGGTTCCGCAAGGTCAAGGTGCGTCCCGATCCGATTCTTCTTGCTGGTGATGCCCCATATTGCATTCTAGTCGGGAAGCCAAATTATTGGATGGAAATATCCCCCAGCTCCAGAGGGAGCCACTCGACGGGGGATTCGTGGTGATTCCGATGTACCCCTGGGGCCCGATCTCCACGCAGGCTCGCTTGGCTCTAATACTTGATGGTCATAGTGCGATCGCGTTAAACCCTGTCATGCATGCTGTGCTCATGGATATCCTTCCAAGTGCACTTACGACACCGGCCCCGAAGATAGCCTCCAGCCGATAAGCCAGGCGGATGAGATCCGTAACCTCCGAAATGAGATCCGTCAGCTGACGGCTCAACTCAATGCCCGTGGTACGTTGACCCATACCTGAAAGAGCATCAGCATAGTTTGACCACTTTTGACGTGTGCTGACGTCGATGTCTGGTGTATTTACTAGATCAACGGAACCGGAACCAACGCCGCCTAGCGCAGCTGCAAGGCTTGGTTGATACGATTCGTTCGGCCCCATCAGAAGTCGTCGATGGTATCATCAGCAGTATACGGACAACAAATCGGGTTGTTACGCATGGCTCGGGAATTGCATCCGGGGAGCGGACAGAAGGTGGGTCATAACTTTGGGGTACGGGGACGATGACTCTGAGGCCCAGGAGCTGACATGTGCCCTCGGACTTGACAGAAAATGCTATAGTAGCAATCCAGCGTTCTAGGCCGGGTGAAAGTGATGAGGAAGCGGAAGATAATCTGTACTTGCCGGCAGGCCAGCGTGATGGCAGTCGAAGTTCATCCGAGGACAGCGAGGATTCGAGTTACGGTTCGATCTGTCAAATGAATACGACAAAACCGATGCTCGAGGTGTTCATTGAACGCTTCGTGGATGCATTCAGCCCAGAAGTTGATGCTAAAGCAGGTCACGCGGGTGCATTGCGACGCGCTGCTGAAATTCGCATGTTTTCGCCAATCTTGATGGATGCGTTCCAGTCCGTGTCGGTTGCTTTCTTCGGCCGGTCCGTTCAGAACAAGGAGGTCGAGGCTGCGGGATTCAGCCTCTATCCACGGGTACTTCGCAGCTTGCAGCAAGCGTTGCAGGACCCTGAACGTAGCAAGGCTGAGTCGACGTTGGTAACGGTCATCCTTTTGATGGCGTTTGAGGTATGCTTCGCAGGTTCCTCTTTGTCAATAACCTTCAACGAATAACATTTTTGCAGAGTGTGGAGCGCACTACTCAGGTTTCCCTGATTGCGCACGTCAACGGTGCACTACGTTTGATTGAACATCGGGGTCCGGAGAATCATGTTCACGGCGTGGAGCATTTACTGTATACAGAGCTCCGACCATACTGGGTATGTATCCGATCCCTCCACTGTATAGGAAAACCCCCATGTACTCATTCAGTGAGCAGGTATCTGCGGCTCTCGTCAGCCGTACCCCATCTTTTCTTGCTCAAGAAGACTGGATTAATCTGCCGTGGTCAGCGAAAACCACCAAAAAAGATATCTTACACTATCTCATGGACCTTGCTGTCGAAATCCCAGCACTACTGTCTCAATTCGATGATCTCCAAGCCACCCTCGGCTCGCAAATGGCGAGTGCGCATGAAATCAAGGTCAAACAGGCAACCCTGTGGAACGGTGTTGCAGACTTGACCGGGCGCTTCCGCCGGTGGAAAATCGAGTGGGTCGACCACTATCCCGACGGACCGCCTCAGGAGGTCGAGGCACTACCAAACGACGAGTTTCCAGTGTTCCAATGTCGAGATCTTCGCACTGGTGCCATCATCACGCCGACAAAGTTTGCCTATCCGGACCTCCGCCTGGCCCAGACAATGTGTCTCTACTACACTACGCGATTGATACTGTCAACAGCGGATTGCCGACCGACAGAGCGCGTCGGTCCTGCCGAGCAGTATGCCCTGGGGTGCGGTATCTGCCGAACCCTGGAATGGTACATCTTGACTGCCCCGGGTAACATGATCAATCGCCTCGCCTTCCCAGTCCGCGTAGCTTGGGAGGTCTTTCCGGACGGTGGCCCAGAGCGCCTGTTCATGTATGATGTGCTTAAGTTGGTCGAGAAACGGCATTCACTTGGACTCTGGGGTAGTGGAATGTCCGAACTTTCTCCCCGGGCTGGCTCCCCTCCGGGCCCTTGAATGGAAAACCCAAATATGCAGTCGTGGATCGCTGGACGATAGCGGCTGCACTGTATGAGAGACACTGGGGGGGTCTCACGACTTGATGATTTCGACCAAATGCAACACAGTTTACGAGCGAGCTTTTTGTAACCTTGATGTATCGGTATAACTATGACTTTTGAGCTTTGCGCGAGAAGTGCAGTACATTCGAGCTTGAAGTTGCATATTCAAAATCAAAGCAATCTCTCTGATTTCGGCCACTATGTTAATCGATTACGTTTTCCAACTCGAGGCACAGGAGCGAGCAATTATGCTCTGGCCAAAGGGAGTCCACTCAGAGGTTGGATGATTTTGTCTGGCCATGCAGACTTCGGAAATATCACAAATCTTTCCGTCTGGAAATGCTTGGATCCTTTCGAGTTCTCCCATGCAGAAAGTCTGACAACTTCTTCCTATGTCATGTTAAGAAAGGGGCTGATGCCTCAACTTAACGCTCCAGGAGCATTTTTGTGTGATGCCGTCGATCCATCAAGGGAGCCTGACAATATGAAGCATCCTCCCAGTCTTCCAATCCCTTGCAAACTCATCCCAAACTGAGAATGAACATGAATAGCCGTTGGTAACTTGAGCGGGAGACAAGCTAGCATGCTTGAAATGGAAGGTGTCGGGAGAGATTTCGTCAGCATTTGATATCAAGCTGATTCAGGTGACCGAATCATCGCCAGGGGCGAGAGGAATTTCGACAACCCCACGGAGATAGACAGCCGTGTAGGGCGATTTTACGGAATACGGAAATCTCGAGTACTTTAACTGCGACAGTCGTCCGCAATAACATTGGAGCTTAAGGTATTTCAAAGTGCTGATGGATCAAGCTTAATGCCTTTAATGTTTCAGGTTAAAACAAGCTTGTCGGCTGAAAGTGGGAGGAGTTAGGGCAGTTGGTGGAGTCGGCGATGGCGCCGGACTCCACCTGCCCCTGAAACAAGCCCTTAGTCGGCGCCTTATGATTCTTGCAGAGTGGCATTTGTTCTTTTAAAAGGCCGGCGATCGGTGCCTACTTTGGACCTTGATTCTATCCTCTCATTCAGTCTTTTATTCACAGCTCTGCTTGCAGTCATTCTTTCTTCGCGGCCGGTTCGCTTCATTCACTCTCGTTCTTCAATTCAAATCGCTTTCATCGATCACCATGCGCTCTGTTTACGCTGCTGCTCCCTTGACTCTTGCCCTCCGCGCTGCGGCTGTCACTGAGGATTCCTGGTACTTCGGTAACGGGTTCTACACTGGCCCTCCGTCCAACAGCGCTCACATTACCAAGGCTACTTGGTCGGTTATCGCCCCCAGCGTCCCGCAGAACACCACCGTTGAGAACACCAACGACGAGGTCTGGGTCTCGCTCTGGATCGGCCTCCAGGCGACTGCCGGTGAAGACAGCTCCTACCTGTACCAGCCTCTGTTCAACTGGTCGCCCGACCAGGAGTCCCAGTACGTATACCTTTTTCGACATAACAAGCAAGAAGACGTGTCCGCTAATTGTGACCAGGGGCTGCCCTGCTACCGCCGAGGAGTGGTGTGTCGCCGCCAGCACCTACACTCCCAGTGAGTCTTGAGCGTGTTGGATTGACAGGGCCTAGAGACGATGTGCTAATCAATGCTGCAGGTGGTCAACTCGGCCAGGCCTATGTGACCGTTCCCCAGGAAAGTCAGGTCGACTTTGAGGGTTAGTTACATGTTCACCTCTGTGCCCAAAGCCCATCGAGACTAACAACGATGACGTGCAATAGTCACCGTTTCCGATAGCAAAGTCACGCAGGTCGTCAGCATCGACGGCAAGGTCGTTTCCAAGGAGACCGACAGTAAGCATCCGGCCTTCTCGATTCCATATACCACACACACACCGCATCCCACGTACTTACTTGAACACCTCCCCAGAACTCGACAGCAACCTGCTGTACCTCTACTCCGGAGACGAGTGCTACACTGGCTCCGGCACCTGCGGTACTCAGCCCGCCTACAGTAAGTTTCCCTCTACGCCGCACAGCGTTTTACTATCATGACGCTGGTGTTGAACTCTCTGACTCGAATACAGGCTGGAACAACATCACCATCCACCTGAGCGAGGCCGATTCCAAGTTCGGCGAGACCCTGTACCTGTACAGCGGCTCGAGCTCCAATGGATTCACCACCTCCGACAGTGGCAAGACCTGGCACACGGATGCCATCAAGATCTCCACCGACACCTTCGCGGTGCTCGACTAGATGGAGATCGCTCTGCAGGCTGCGACGAGCACAGGCGATTCGTGATTGTTGAGGGATCATGTGTGGCGGTACGGCTCTGCCTGGACACCATACTATTCGGACCTTTATTTGTGGATAGCTTCAACATAATTGGCACATACATGCACATATTGTATTCTACTCGAGAATCAGTTATTACATCGGTCACCAGCTTTATGATGCCGATTTTAGTCTGTTGCATGCTGAGAATTATGAGATAGTTTTGGTAGATGGATGAAACCGAGATATTAGTCGCTAAACCATGATATTAAGACACGCGGTAGACGCACGACTAGTCCAGTCACCTAATGCAGGTTTTCCTAGAGTAAATAACTGATATGTACACCGGTGGAAAGATTCATGCGTGATTAAGCTCTTGAGCTCCAGGCCTAGTAGTCGAGGGTTTGTTTGATCGCATCGTATATCCCTGCGACAAGGTCAGTAGCGGACAGGATATCGGAAAAGAAAGGCGAGAAACACTCACTGGTGACGTCGGGGATGATGAACTTCTCGTAGATCAACCCGGTATGCGTACTCCAGCCGCCCACCCGCTTGACGGGGGCCTCCAAGCGCAGAAAGGCGCGCTCCTGGATGGTCGCCGCGACTTCCGCGCCCACCCCGTAGTTGACCATGCTCTCGTGCACCACGACCGCGCGACCGGTCTTCCTCACACTGTCCAGCACCGTCTGCCGGTCCCAGGGGTAGATCGTGCGCAGGTCAACCAGCTCGATGCTGGCGCCCAGCGCCCGCTCCGCCGCCTCGATCGCTGCGGAGCACAGGTACAGCGGCTGCCCGTAGGAGACGACGGTGAGGTCGTTGCCGGGCTTGACCACCTCGGCCTCGCTGAGCGGGATGGTGTAGTACTCGTTCGGCACGTGCTCCACCGCCGCCCGGTACAGCACTTTCGGCTCCATGAAGAGCACCGGGTTGTGGTGCTCGAAGATCGCCGACAGCAGCAGCCCCTTCGCCTGGGCCGGCGACCGCGGCATCACCACCTGGATACCGGGGATATGCGCGAACAGTGCCTCGGGGGATTGCGAATGGTACCTAGCCAGTCAGCCAGCCAACCCAAAACGATCAGCACCTTCGGCCCCCCCCCTTCAAAAGTCAAGGTATTTATGGCAGAGAAACACTCACAAAGCCCCATGCCCCACGGCACCGCACGGCATCCGAATCACCAACCCGCCGATGTCCACCCCCGTCGCCCCCTCCCGGTACCGGAACTTGGCCGCCTCGTTGACGATCTGGTCGAAGGCGGGGAAGACGTAATCCGCGAACTGGATCTCGGCCACGGGCTTCATCCCCTGCGCGGCGGCGCCGATGGCGAACCCCACGATGCCTTGCTCCGTCAGCGGCGTGTTGAAGACCCGCTCGGACCCGAATTCGGTCTGCAGGTCCATCGAGCACCGGAACACGCCGCCGAAGGCGACGTCCTCCCCGAAGAGCATGACTTGGTCGGAGGTCGCGAGGGCGGTGCGCAGGGCGGAGTTGATGGCCTGGTAGAGATTCATGGATTTCGAGGAGGTCGAGGCGGGCAGGTCGAGGTGGTCGGGCAGGGTGGAGGCTGTGTGGTGGAGGAGAGGGGACGATTTGTAGTCGATGGGGAGGTTGAGGCGTGAGGCAGGGGAGGCGGCGGCGGTGGAATAGGTTCTTCGTGCCCGGATTTGAGGGTGAAAGAGTCGGGAGGATATGCGTCGGGATGCCATGGTTGTAGTAGATATGAAGTAGAAGGGGATGATGGATGGATTGGTGATGGTGATTTGGATAGTATAGAGAGGGTATCGGGGAGGAGGATGGGCTAGGTCGGGGAGTCTTTCTGTTTTCTCTCTTTCTTGTATTCTCCCCTCCCAGGGGTGGTCGATGTCGATGGTTTGCGAAGATTCAGGTTTTAAAAGCTGGGGAAGAGAGAGAGAGGGAGAGAGAGAGAGTTTCTCCCCTGTCGGTTTCTCCCCTTCAATGCGTTCATGCGGGGAATGTTACCCCAGTTCCCCCGCGGATAACCGCCCTTCGCCGCCTTATCGCCTTATCGCCTTATCGCCTGAGGGGGGAGACTTTGGTGCCCGGGTGCCTGGGTGCCTGGATGCCTTAGTGCCTTAGTGCCTGGCTCGGTCAGCGGTCGGCACTTGCCAGTGGCTTCTTTCGGTTACAGGACGAGGCATGATGGATGGAACTGCTTAACACACTCATCCATCCTTCTCTTTGTCCTGCGTGAGCCATCAAACGAGCCATCAAACGTTTCATTTCCTTGAGCTTCATATCCACGAGTCTGTAAAAATCCGACAGCTCAACAGCACAGATCATGTTGCCCGACGGCCAGCTCTTTCCGATGCAGACAGACTCGTCTGAAGCTAATAGTCGTCGATCATCTCCTGTGAACTCCGCCTCAAGCTGTTTGATATCACAGCTCGCCATTCTCTACCATGCTATCTCTATGCTGAAGCAGGTGATCAGGTCAGTTAAGACACAAAACTTCGCATTCTTTCACTCCATATATACATAAGCAAGGGTATCGTGCATCAAGGGCTCAACTAATATTTACAAAAAATCCAAGAAATACCTTTCAATAGCCATGGCGCCCATGACTGTTGCTCGCCGACATCGATCGAACTGATCGACCCCTCAGAATGATTGCCGATCCGTGTCAGTATCGCTGAAAGCCACCATCTGGTACTCGGAAGACCGATAGCGCCAGCGACGGAGCCTGGGATCCAGGCCGCAGCACCTGCAGAACCCAAGGAACAGGCCAACCCCGCTCATGACGAACGCGACGCCTAAGATCCAATAATGCATGTTGAGCAGCCGTTCCATGGCACTGCCCCGCTCCCTCTGCAATAGCTCCGTGACGTCCAAGACATTGCCGTTGGCGTTAAGGGCTGCCAAGCGAAACAGGGGACTATCCAAGTTCTCCGGAATGTCGATTTCGGTTTCGAACCCAGTTTTCTCATATTGTGCCATCACCTTGAAAGCGGCATCTTCAAGCTCGCCTGAGAGCCAGGTCTCTAGTTGCCATGCGGCAACCTCTGTCGCTCCGTTCCAGCTGACGTAGATCCGATTACCGATCACCTCGGCATCCGGAGCAGTTTGCGGCCTTCCAACCCAGTCGCCTTTAAAAACCCGGTATGATACGGCGCGACCGAATCCAAAGAACACCGAGGCACCGAAGTGGACATTGCACAGCACTTGCCCGTCGGAACTGAACTCGGTAAAGGCGGCATTATGGCCCCAGCCCACCAAGGCACGGCCATCGTTGTCCAGGAGTTGCAGATTGCCCTGCGACACGGCTTTCATCTGCTGAGGATGATAGTACGCAGCTAGAAGGGTCGCTTCGCGGGCATCAACATCCAGATGTATCATCATGCCATGGCTTTCCTCGTCGGGGTCTTTCGTCGAGTGTGCTGCATTGTTGAAAAGGGTGAGTGTGTTGTTAAGGTGCCAGCGCGCATCATGTTGCCAGGCAAAGTTGGTCGCCTCCCCGTTTGATAGGTCGCGGAATTCGTTCAGTTTGCCCCCAAGCGTCCACAGAACCACGCCGCTGTTTTTATCGATGCAGCTGACAGTGTGGGTGTGTCGTGCCGATACGATGTAATTTCCATTATCATCCTTTTCGACACTATTGATGTGGTAATAGTCAAAAGCAGATGATCGGGCGGTCCCAGTTGTTCCCAATTTTTCATAGGTGCTGTTGATCGGGTAATGCTTGGATGCACGCCATTCAAAGAGCAGTTCGCCCGTCGCGATATCGATTTCCTGGAATACCCCGTCATGTATCCATCCCAGTTCAGGGCCTCCGACCGAAGTCAAATCAGCAAGCACTGGGTCATAAATTGTGACAAGAGCAGTCCCCTGAGGCGTGATGTGGAACTCATGAAGGTCACCGCCGTAACTTCCGACCGGGGTGATCACGTATCGCTGAGTGTATGTGGAATCCAACTGTGGCAGGTCAACCTATGGACAATCGGAATGCGGTTTGAAGCCACCCACCATGTACCATGCTCCATAGCCTCTACCCTCAATTTCGTCGCCCTCCCAATATGTGAGGTAGTCAGCGCCTTGATACCGCTGGACCCGAAAGTCCTGCGTTATCTCCCAGTTGTGTTTCATCCAAACCAGTTCCCCTCTGGAATCGAGGATCATGGGGCCCGGCTGAGCAACCGAGTCCCCTCTAGGGGCCAGGAATGTGAATCGCGAATCGCATCCTGATCCTTGTTCCGAGATTTGAAGCGCTGGAGATTCATAGTCGAATGAGACATAGTCCTGGGACGGACCAAAACCATAGAGCCCCAGATCGTACCAGCTCAAATCGGTCCTGAGATGCAGCCTTCGCAGCTGTGGCACGGCGAAGACGTAGAAAAGGTACAGCAGACTAAGGAGAGCCCCTATCGTGGCCACGTGTAGGCCAGAAAACCTGGACCGCAAGCGATGAACACATGACAGACTGCGAGTCCCCGAGGACATTGGAACATCGCGGTGAGAGATAAAGACCCAAATGCGCAGAGAAAGGGGAAAGGAGAGACGAGAAGAGCTGGCCGTGCTTCTGGTTTTAAGAATCACAATTGGAGACTGGGGATATTTCGGAACCGACCAACAAGCCACGAACTCCTGTGAACACCTCTTGCTTAGCTTTGATCGTCATCGCGGCTAAATCAACAACAGCCAGGCGTTATTGTACGTGTCATTTGTCGAACATCAATAATGGGGCCGGCTTGCGAGACCCGATAATGGCATGGAGGGGAAGGGGTAGGGGGGGGGTGGGTAGGGGTGGGTGTCCAAACTCCAAATTGAATTCACCACACGCGCGGCACAGAAGGGAACCAGTATCAGTATCTTCTACTCTGTACTCCGTACAATGGGGCACATCTCCACGCAAGCAGGGCCAGGCCAACTTTGATTTGGTGCGGGTGAGCAAATTCCATGTGTGCCAAGGTCGTCACCGTGGATCGGGGTCATCCAGGCTAGTCCACCTTGGCAGTTCCCAATTTACGTCTGGCCCGCAGCGTGGCGGTGTCTAGTCTCGCATCGAGCCAGCCATCATTTTCTATTGGCTTGCACACCGCGTCGTCCATTATCGCACAACCGAAGCTCGGCATTAGATACTTCATTCAGGTTGGTTATCTGATCTGTTGCGCTCGCTAGGACGACTCGGTATGACGACTGAGAGCTCAACCGCCGCTGGTGACAGCCACTTGGACCCGCTTGCGCGTCGTCAACCAACAGCGCCAGAAAGTCAGGATTGGCATCGCAGGCGGTGAATTCTTTGTCATATGTGCTGTGCACCGCCGAAACACAATCTGTGAATCCGATTCCATAGAAGAGGCCGATGATCCATGACTTGCACAGGTCGATGCTTGGTTTCGGGCGGACCGCCAACGTGGCCGAAGGAACGAATTGGGTGTGATCAACAACAGTTCAGAATTCAGGAGTCACTCCGTGTTCTGGAAGATTACCTGGAACTTTTGCAAGTGTCTTGGCCTCCCTTAAATCCAGATCCACTCCACCATCTCAAATGGCATTCTACGGACGCTTTGACAATGAGTCTAGCGATTAAGAGGCCAGCCAATAGTGTAAGTCTATCCCCACGGAGTTCGAGATACCATGCGAATGCCATCTACTACGTATGAGACTCCCTCTAAACTGGTGACGAGCAACTACTGCTTCAAGATCTCAACACAAAG